AATGGAAAAAAAGGAGGACATTTATAATGCTTTCAACAATAAAGATAAATTGAAAAAAAAAAGTAATGAGCACATGGATTTATAAAAAAACAACCACAACTTTTATTTTTAATCTCACACCTTCCTCAAATTACTGCCCATTTCTTGATTCCGTCATAAAACATAAAACCTTACTCTAATAAATTGTGTATAGTTACTCTCAGCAATTTAAATTCTCACATTCTCTCTTAAATCCCCTTCAAACAGACTTTGCACTCATCAGTCCAGCAGCAATGCTTCTTGACAATGTCACCAATGACATTTGCATTGCTAGCTCCCGTGGTTAATAGCCCTTATTTCACTTAGCCAAATAATAACACTTGACACTGTTGATCACTCCCTCTATTTGAAATTATTTACGTGGCTTTTCCGAACTCTCTCTTCCCTTGTTTTCCCTCCTGTATCACCGACCGCTCTCTTCTTTTGCTCGATCTCTCTCCTGTTCACCTAAACATTGCAGTGCCCCTGGGCTCAGTCCTCGGTCCTTCTGCATTCTATCTGCATTCACTCCTTTTATATTCCAGCCAGTATTACGGTTGTATATCTGAAGACTCACAAGTTAAGGTTTTCATTGCAGACTCTCTCACACAGCCAACTGTGCCTTCAACTTCCCCACTGGGTTGTCTAATTGGCAACTCAATCGTACATTCTGAAACAATGCTAAGCACGGTAGCTTCCAAGGAAAACAGGGATTGTGAAAAAAATAAAAAAACATGTTAGTCCTTCACATTCTAGATGCCGGAACAGTGTGTTATATCAAATAATTTTACAAAATGTGTTTCGCAGTCACATTGAGCTCAGTGTGTCATTTCTTATTTTAACACTGTGAGCAGCAGTAGCAAAACGACATCATGTGAATGGCATTGCCAGCTGAATATCTAAAGTCCCCGAAAGAAATCTCAGTAATTTAGAAGATGAAGGGCAATATGACATTTAGAAAGAACACTGTTTTATAAACAGTAAGTAATGTTTTAAGAAAATCTATAGATATTAGTCTTTAAATTGTTTTGTTTTTTTAACTTAAGCTGAGACTTTTGTGCATGTAACAACTGTTACCAAGGCAACTTTCTCTGAAGCCATCAAGATCCAGCAGGAAAGCTGCCTGCATGTCGTTTGTTCAGGTGACCAAACTTGCTCTTCCATTTTAATCACTTATTCAGGGAAAATATTTTTAGTTCTTTATCAGTTTTGCTTTCCAATCCCATTTCTGTTTACCGTTTTTTATTCCTGTGAGCAATCTAATATTAGTTTTACTTAACCAGTTTCCCTTAGAAGAGAAACCCAAAGGACCCCAGTGGTGTAGAATTCAAATAGTAATACATTGAGATTTGAGATTTTAATATATTCTTGCTGGATCCACATAATTAATATTGGTATATCAAAACAATACATTTTTATATTTTTATATTTCATACAATTTCTCAACAGAACTTTAGAGGGCTGTAGTCCCATTTGTTTATTTTTCCTTTGTTTCCCTTGCCCTAGCAGATATATCAGCAAAAATATTGCTACAAGAGATGTCTGAGATTTTATTGCCTCTGTCTTCCAGGATCTTTAGGGTTTCAGTACTTACATTAAAGTATTTTATCCATTTTGAGTTTATTCTTGTGTATGGTATAAGTTGGTGGTCCAGTTTATTATTATTTTTTGCATGTGCCTGTCCCATTTTCCCAGCACCGTTTATTAAATAGACTGTCTTTACTCCACTGTATGCTCTTATTTCCTTTGTCACATATTAATTGAACACAGAGGCGTGGGTTGATGTCTGGGCTCTCTCTTCTGTTCCATTGATCTATATGCCTGTTCTGATGCCAGTACCAGGCTGTTTTGATTACAGTGGCTTTGTAATACAGTTTGATATTGGGTATTGTGATCACTCCAACTTTGTTCTTCTTTCTCAAGGTTGCTGAAGCTACTTAGGATCTTTTTTGGTTCCATATAAATTTTTGGAATATTTTTTCTAGATCTTTGAAATGTGCCATTGGTATTTTAATAGAAATTACACTGAATCTATAGATTTCTTTGGGTGGTATGGACATTTTAATGATGTAAATCCTTCTAATTCATGAACATGATGTATGTTTCAACTTACTTGCATTTTCCTCAGTTTCTTTCTTCAGTGTCTTACAGTTTTCCGAGTAGAGAGCTTTCTACTTTTTTTAAGTTCCTTGATGACTTTTGCTTCTATATTTGGGTAGAATTTATGTTGTAAAATAATTGATAGTAGGACAACTAACTCCAAATCACATTTTTCTGCTATAACTNAACTAATGCTTTCTACTTTTTTTAAGTTCCTTGATGACTTTTGCTTCTATATTTGGGTAGAATTTATGTTGTAAAATAATTGATAGTAGGACAACTAACTCCAAATCACATTTTTCTGCTATAACTTCAAATTCACAAAATCTCCCTGATTGATTCTTAGTATATAAGTATATCTAAAGGAGCTAAACATATTTTTTTAAATGACAATTGTGTAATGGATATAATAGTATTATTTCTCTTACATTATTCATACACTTATATTTATTTTCTGTATTATAACCACATAAACATACTTCAGAAAAACTTCAATAGTAAAAAGCATAAAAATATAAAACACTTTGAAATATATAATCCACATAGTTTTTAGTCTTTAGCAAATTGTAGATGAAAAAGCATTTTTTTTTTTTTTTTTGGTTTGTTTTTATTCATTTCTTTTATGAGACCAAGAATTTCCTTGGTCTTTCTGTCCTATTTGCACTTGACAGGTTATTTCAGGTTTTAGAGAGCAGTGTGAGGTTTCCATTGATTTACAGATAACAACAGGTTGATAAAGGCAGGGTAGAGGGCCGTTTACCTGTGTGACCAGGAGCACAGAGGCAGTTATATGCACCGGTTCTGTTGACACAATGAACTCCACCTAGACAAGGTTTGATTTCACATTTATTCATATCCAGTTCACAGAGAGATCCATGGTACCCAGGTTCACAATTACATAAAAATCTAGAGAAAAGGGGGAGAATGAGAAATAACATGTAACAGCAAAAACCATTTCATTATATAAGTAATGGTAATGTATATATACATTTTAGATCTCTAGCTAAATTTGAATAAATGATAATGTTTCCATTTCATTCTTTTTCTTTGAAGAAAATACAATTTGTTTTTTTTTTTTTTGGTTCTTAACCTCAAGGGTTCCCCAAATGAAATTTGAAACTGGCCCCTGTATATGGAGGGCAAGAAAAGACTAAAGAAAGAGGCAGATCCATCCAGATCGGTAGGTAGTGGGTTTAGTAAGCAAGGGAGCTTACATCCTGGGCAGCCACAGGATGAATAGATCTCCATACTCGCCCACCAGAGTCTTAAAAGTTTATATAGAGGCCTTACAGGATTCAGTCACATGTACATTGCAGATAGTCTCAATAACACCTCCCTCTCTCAAGGCCACTTCTCAATCCTTAAAGTGTCTCCTAGTGTAGGAACAGTGGGTGGAGCGAACATTACAGGACAGTGGAGGAGGTAAGAAGCCTCAGACCTCATGGATCCTGCCTGAAGGTCAACTGTCAGCCACAACCACTAAATAAATTCTTTCAAACTTCAAGGTATTTTTCCCCTTAAACATTCTTTATGTGAGAATTTTTAAAAAGAGAATGTGTTTGGATACATAATTAATGAAACTTTGATAAATACTATTGAGCTTACTTCTGTAATTGTATTAACTTTATTATTATTAAGTATAAACTTTTAACTATACTATTGGCAGATGTGAGATAAATTGGACGTAATTCAATAATTAGATATCAGGTTCAAAGTATCACACACTTAATAGAGGGAGTGACCTGCAAAAACCTTGTCATTGAAAATGGTTTCCAGAAACTTCATCTGAACCCCCTTTAATGTGCAACTGCCCCATCTTTATCTTATTCACTGACCTCTGATGAGCCTGAGTTGCTGAGTTCAGATTTGTCCTCCAGACTTACTTGGAAGAGTTTCTTTGGTCCTATATGGATTTCTTTTTATTGATTCAGACCTTGTCTCAATTGATCTTTGATTTCTTTCCTCTGTAGTCTAAGCTGTGGCAGATATATATATATATATAACTGTATGTGGTAGAATTGCCCTGAGATTATTTTTAGTCTATTTCTAGATATTATACTGACTATGTCTTTGTCTCAATGCCTAGTCAGTGTGTATCTACTTGCCCAGATGGTGGTCCTCCAGGAGGCAGCCAATCAGTGACTCTCATCATTGATGTTTCTATCTCTCTCTCTCCCTCTCCCTTCCTCTCTCTAAAATCAATAAAGATATATTTTTTTAAAAAAAACAAAAACAAACAAAAAACATGAACAGTCTATTTTATACTTGTAACATAAAGATTCTTATATTAAAATTTTATAAAGAAGTTAAATAAACCCTTTAGATAATATATTTTAATTATTAATCAGTTTTAAAATATGACATCAAATTTATCTGTTATATTTCATTTTTAACAAATACAGGCATATTTATATATAATGAAAAATAATTAGTTTTTTAAAAATTTGCACATGAAAAATGTCAAATTTAATATTAATCTAAGAGAATACTGCATATGCTAAGATATGCGCAGTTTGTTTGTTTCCATTTATCCAACATCTTTAAGATGCTGTACTTTAAGATGTACATTCTGTATACCTCAAGCAAAAATAAAAAGTAAACTATTTTTATCCAAAATATTTGCTCCAGAGAATGATTACCTTTAAGACAGTCTTTGTATGTTGTTATTATAATTTTACTGCATATGGATGTGGATAGACTTGAAACAATGCTGTTATGGCAAAGTGTTCAGTAGAACAGAGTTCATCTGAATTAATAACTGGTGTCTAAGCAAACAATTTATTTTAAATATGTACAGATTTTCATCATCTACTTAAATGCACATTATTCACTTTCAACTTTGTAACAGTAAAGAACTGATAAATTCATAAATATCTAACACTGATTGGTCACAATAGTTTTGTTCGTAATGAACTGGTTATAATAATAACAACAGCCAAACATTTAAAAAGTAGTTTTCTTCTATATTCTTTGAATGGACCAGCCAGTGTTATTGTAATTTTTCTGGTGAATTCTCTATTTAGGTATAAATTTTTAGCAGATCAATATTGTTGTCAGTGATCTAAGTGAACTGATTACTGTGGCTTAAAAAGACATTAGTTCTATTGGATAACATACGTTATCAATTGTCAGAAAATGTCAATTCCAGTGTCCAGCTTTGCAATGGCTTTGAAAATAAATTGAGGTAGACATCCAAATGCTATCATATATCAAGGCATTCATCTTTAAGTGATGTCATTAGGATAAATTATTAATTGTTGCAGGTCTTAGTTTCAAAAACCAAAAGAGTAAATGGAACATATTAAAAACATGGATGTAATCATGAAGCATATTATGTAATAATTACTGCTTTTAACATTTTTACTGTAGGTCTGTAGTTTAATTTGTAATAAATATACCATTGTTGTTGAGTTGATTATTTCAAAGATTTCTAACAGTTAATATCAATATGCTAAAATAAACAAAAAAAATTTAATCAAAAAACATTCTTACAAAGCAAAAGTGATATAAAAATGTAATTAGTCATTTTCTAGCTGCTCATAGATTTTTTTTTACCTTTGAAACATTTTAATGCACTGTAAATGGCTTTTATTGTAACAACATAAAGTAACTTTTTGAGAATAGAATAATCAACACCCATGTACCTATCATCCATATTTAATACATTTAATATTTTTCCAGGTTGCTAAAGAATTTTAAAAGGAAATGTATGTAATGAATATATTTGAAACCTGTTTTTATATATGCATATTATTTATTCTCCATTCCTCTTTACAAAAAGGAGCTCACTATTCTTAGGATGGTATGCATTCTTCAAAATATGTTTTATTATTTTATTAAATATTATTACTAGCTCCTAAATTAAATAATTAGGTGTAAATCTAAAAATATTTGCACACAACTCATATAAAGAAACCACAAAATTCTGGTGAACAAAGTAAAAGAAAAACTAAATAGAGAGACACATCATGCTCATGGATAAAAAGACTATATTTTCAAGATATCAATTCTGCCCAACTTGATCTCTAGATTCAATGAAATAACAAGCAGAATCCCAGTGAGTTATTTTGTGGATATTGACAAAATGATCCTAAAGTTTATATGTAGAGGAAAAAGACCCAGAATACAATGTTGAAAGGAATATAATATTAATAAGAACAAATTAGAAGACTGACACTGCCTGACCTAAAGACTTACCATGAAACTATAGTAATCAAGACAGCGTGTTATTATTAAAATAATAGATAAATAGATCAATGGAACAAAATAGAGAGCCCAGAAATAGACCCACATGAATACTGTCAACTGAGCTTTGACAAAGGGGCAAAAGCAATTCAATAGAGAGAAGATGGTCTCTTCAAAATGGTACTGGAACAGCTGAACATCTACATGAAGAAAAAGAAAGAATTTAGACATAGACTTCACACTTTTTTATATAAATTAATGCAAAATGGGTCTCAAACATAGTGCAAAATGAAAATTAGAAAGCTCTTTGAAGATAACAAAGGAGAAAATCTAAATGACCTTGGTTTTATCTTTGCAATATGGCATCAAGGGCATAATCCATGAAAGAAAGAGATGATAAGCTGGACTTTATTAAAATTAAAAAAAATTCTGTCCTGTGACAGACAATGTCAAGACAAGCCACAGGCTGGAAGAAAATATTTGCAAAAGATATATCTAATAAAAGACTATTATGCATAATATACAAAGAACTCTTAAAACTTAATAAAACAAACAACCCAACTAAAAATGGGCCTTAACAGACAGACACCTAAACAAAGAAGACATAGTGATGTAAAATAAGCATATGAAAAGATGCTCCACACCATGTGTTATCAGAGAAATGCAAATTAAAAAAACCACGAGATACCATTACTCACCTCTTGGAATAGCCAAATTTCCATGACACTGACAGTACCTAATGTTCATGAGAATGTGAAGCAGTAGGAACTCTCATTCACTGCTGATGGAAATGCAAAATGGTAGTCACTTAGGAAAATAGTTTAGCAGTTTCTTAAAAATATCTTTCTAAATAATATGTTGCATATATTATTCTGATAGTTTCTTTTCCCACTCATCATATATTTCAGTAAACATTTAAGCAGTGTATATTTGTATAGCTTATTCATAGTAAAAAATATATAGTTTTCTGTTTATTATATCATATTTTTGTTAATTATTTTATTGTTTTTAAATTTTCACCATTGTAGACATACCACATATGTATAATCTTAGACATATCTTTGTGTACCATCTTGAAGATGTTCATGTGTGAATGTACACATATACTTTACAACACTTTCCTCAATGTAGTTCTTTATCATCCCATGAGCAGTGGATGAGATTCTACTGGTCCTTGGAAAGACATATAATATCTCATTTTATTTTAGGTTTCCTTATTATTTGTTTCCTGACCACTTAAATTTCTTCCTCCTTGAATGGCTTGTTCATATTCTTTACTTATGTTTTCTTATATCCTCCAAACCTTAAACTGATTTCAGTAATGCTTAGTGCACATATTTTTTGTGATCATCTACTCAATTATCATTGACAACTTATTGTCTCAAACACAATTCAGAGGGGTCTTGTTGGGCCCCACTCAAGTACAGATTGAAAAGACAAAAAGTTGATGTGTTGAAGGCATTTTCAAAATAGACTTTCTTTTCTAGATTAGTTTAAGGTTCACAGACAAATTAAGCTGAAAGTACAGTGTTTCCATATAGCTCTTCTCCCTGCTATCAACATCCCCCACCACAGCAGGACATTTATTTCAATCAAGGAACCTACACTGACTTTATTATCACAAAAAGTCCACAGTTTACATTAGGGTTCACTCTTGGTGTTGTGCATTCTATGGGCTTTGACAAATATATAATGCATGCCCACTATTATAAGAGCATACAGAA